TGGGGAAGCGGTGCTGCTTGTTGACTGTGGTCGCCCATTTGTGCACGAGCGGACAGGCGAGGGAGTGGGCGGTTGGACCGGGCCCAGTGGGTCCCCGCAGCAAGCGGCAGTAGAGGTCGCTGCCATTTCCCCGCTCTGACCACGCCCCCACATACAGCATCACAACCCAGCGACCTGGGAGTCCAAGGCACCGCTTCTCACACTTAAAGGGCCAGAACAGACCAAAAATGTCGCAAGATCTCAAAGCCCCACAGCCCATAGATCTAAGCGATGAAGAAATAGCAAAACTCTCAAACGCACAGTTTAAAACACTGGTCATCAGGATCCTCACAGAACTGGTTGATTATACCGACAAATTAGACAAATATATGAAGGTGAAACTAATTGAAATGAATGGAATTACACAGGACACCAATAGCAATGAAAAGGAAACTGGGACTCAAATCAATGGAGTGGACCAGAAGAAAGCAAATAATGGCCAAACAGAAAAGAGTCAGGAAGCAAGAATTCAAAGCAATGAGGAGAGGCTTAGGAACCTCCAGGACATCTTTAAAAGCTCCAACATCTGAATTATAGGGGTACCAGAAGGGGGAAAGGCACAGCCATCAGTGGAAAACTTATTTGAACAAATAATAAAGGAAAATTTCCCCAATCTGGCAAAGGAAATATGCTTCCAGGAAATCCAGGAAGCTCAGAGAGTCCCAAAGAAGTTGGACCCAAGAAGGAACACACCAAGGCACATCATCATTACATTAGCCAAGATTAAAATGAAGGAGAGAATCCTAGAAGCAGCAAGAGCTAAGGGGACAATCACCTACAAAGGAGTCCCCATCAGACTGTCATCAGATTTCTCAAAAGAGACCTTACAGGCAAGAAGGGGCTGGAAAGAGGTATTCCAAGTCATGAAATCCAAAGACCTACAACCAAGATTGCTCTATCCAGCAAAACTTTCATTTAGAATGGAAGGACAGATAAGGTGCTTCTCAGATAAGATCAAATTCAAGGAGTTCATCATCACCAAGCCCTTACTATATGAAATGTTAAAGGAACTTATCTAAGAAAAAGAAGTTAAAGAAACACGAACAGTGAAAGGACAGCAAACTCACAGTTATTAACAACCACACTTAAAACGAACGCAAACTAAAAGGACAGCTAGATCAGGAGTGGAAACATAGAAATGAAGATCTCAAGGAGGGTTAGAAACAGGGGAGTGGGAGGAGGAGAAGGGGGGAGAAGGTACAGAAAATAAGTAGCATAGACAGTAGATAGAAAATAGATGGGGGGGCAAGAATAGTATGGGAAATATAGAATCTAAAGGACTTGAGACACATGGTCATAAACTAAAGGGAGGGTAATGTTTGGGATGGGGGGGTAGGGTGGAGGGGAATGAAGGGGGGAATAGAACAACTGTAACAGCATAATCAATAAAAAAATTTTAAAAAAAAGATAAAGTGCTTTGCATGCTGCACCAGGATTGATAGAAAATGACATTCGAGGTAATTCAACTGATATGTATTAGGTGTCTTTTGTGTGCATGATCCAGTTGTAAATGTTTTAAATGTAAAAACCCATGTAATTTCACTGTGACCCTATAAGGTATATCCTACTATTATTTCCACTTTACAAATGAGGAAATTTAATCCAAGTGATGTTTAAAGATATGTCAGAGTGTCAGACTGATAAGTGACAGAGTCAGAGTTGAAACCCAGGCTGTTGGGCTCCACAGCCTGAATCCCAGTCACTGTGTACAGTGCAGAGATGGTCATGCCAGGTTCCAGCCAAAGTCACCAATGCCAAGAGAGCATTTCCGAGGGCTTGGCACATGGCAGACACTCACTGACGAACAGACATCATTGTGAACATGGTGGCAATTGGAGCCAGACCATCTGGATTTTGATCTCAGTTCTAACACTAGGGATCTATTGATGTATAAAAATTACCCCAAAACTTAGAGGCTTGAAGCAACAAATACTTACTATCTCCTGTAGTTTCTGGTTACAGATCTAAAGTCAGATGAGTTGGCTTTGAGCCAGGGTCTCTTATGAGGTTGCAGTCAAGATGTGGATCAAGGCCACACCATCTGAGAGCTTGACTGGGCATGGAGGTCCTGCCTCTGGTTGGTGCACTCAAGGGCTGTCTGTGCTCGGAAGGTCTCTGTTCTTCAGTTGTGTTTGGGACTGAGTTCCTCTTCATGAGGTAATCTCCATACAGCCACTGCAGCATCCTCTGGCATGGCATGTCAGTAACCAAAGGAAGAGAGAGAGAGAGCAAGCACAGGAGCACAAGACAGAAGCCACAGTCTTTTATGAACCATTCTCGAAAATCCTTAGCCACCACTTCCATTACATTATTCATTAAAATTAAATAACTAAATCCAGCCCACTTCCAAGGTAACAGAAACTCTCAACTCTGCCACTTGAAGGGAGGACTGTTGAAATTGTTTTTTCATTACCACACCAAGGGACATTATTTGACCTCTCCGTGCCGCAGTGTTTTCATCTTTTTAAATGGGTTAATATAAGTATTCTTCAGAGAAATTTTGTGGGGATTAAGTATGGCAATTTACAAAAAGAGCCTGGATGGTGCCTGACACACAGTAGGCACCCTCATGTTAGCTATAATTAGCACTTATTATCAGTTATGTTGAACACGGCGAAGTCTCCTATCTCTTAGTCTCAATTTTCTCACCGGTCAAACAGGAATAATAACATCTGTCCCGCTCAAGGTACTCAAAGGCTATTTGTTGGATGTATGTATGAATGAGTTTATTGAATACATACTACATCCCAAGTCCTTTCCAGTCAGTAGGAACATATTAGCAAAAAAAATACCTGCACAGAGTTTTTACCCTAATGGAACATACATTCCAAAGGGAGAAGACCAAAAACAGCAGCCTGCGTGTAAACAATAAAGAAAATAATGGTTATATATGCAAATAGAACTCAGTGAGGTGCCACTACACGGCCACCAGAACAGCTAAAATTAAAAAGATTAACAACATCAAATGCCGGTTAGGATGCAGAGCTAACAGAACTCTCAAACATTGCTTGTGAGACTGTCAAATGGTATATAATCACTTTGAAGAATGACTTGCAGTTTCTTGTAAAACTAAAATTATACCTGTTCTGTTACTCAGCAATCCAATCTTAGGATTGGATTACCCAAGAGAAAAAAATGCATCCACAAAAAGACTTGTATGAATGTTTCTAGCAGCTCTATTCATAATTGCCCCAAACCAGAAACAGCTAAATGTGAGAGAATGGGTAAATTGAGGTATATCACACAATGAAAAAGAATTCAGCAACAAAAGAAACAAAACTTCTGATACAACAACATGAATGACTCTTAAAAACATGTTGAGTGAAGGAAGTCAGTCACAGAAGTACACAGCATATGATTCCTTTATAGTTCTAAAAGAGAAACAACTCATCTGTGCTGAAAAAAATTAGAACAGTGGTAGAAGGGGCTGATGAAGGAGGAGTAGGAGGGAACTTTCCAGGAAAGTGGAGATGTTCTAAGTTGGCACTGGTCACTAGTGCTATTTAAATTTAAATTATTGAAGTGAAATACAACGGGAAATTTAGTTCCCCAGTCACAGGAGCCGCATTGCAATTACTTGAAAGACACAATGGCTAGTGGCCACTGAGTCTGAACAGCACATAGCTTTCCCATTGCTGCAGATTCTTCCATTGACAGCCCTGGTCTGCATCTCGCTAGGGATGCATTTGTCAAAACCCATGGAATGATAAAGTTAAACTTGTGCATTTCACTTGTAAAGGTTACCTTTAAATACATTGCCCTCACTAAGGCTATGCAGGCTGATGTGTTCGGTGGCAATGGGCACTGCTGTCTGCAGGTGGCTTCAAAGTGCACCGAGGAATAAAGAGGACTGAGGATGGATGGGTGCATGGACTTCAGTAAAGCAAATATAGTGAACTGTTAACTACAAAATCCAGGTGGTGAGCATTTTCCTTTGCATTGTACAGTTCTTTAAACTTTTCTGTATCAAAATTTTTATAGTAAAATTATGAAAAAAAGATATGGTGGTATCTTTTTTGTCTATTCTATAGTGATGTCATAGAACAGAGTAACTATTGAGGTAGAGGAGCATGGAGGGAAATTTTAGTTGCGGTGGGTCAGAGATGGAGGGGGAAGAGCTATTGCAGGATTCACCTCCACTTGTGCACCCATTCACTCAGAATGCAGGCATGAATCAAACCTGGTCTCCGTTTCCACCCTTGAGTTCAGGAGATGCCATTAGAGAGACCAGATGTGCTAGGGTGCTGAAGACTTACTATGTGGCATGGTCAGGGGACCCCACAGCCAATGTACGTTTCCAACTGCCACGCTGCTTTCTTACTGGCCATCTCTCTGACTTCAGGTTGGATCACTTTACTGTACTTCCAGAAAGATCCAAAAATGTCAGTTCCATGAGCATGAGGACTTTGTGCACTGCTTGATATCCACCATCAAGCACATCAGAGATACTCAGCAAGCATATGCTGCTGTCTGGGCCACTTGCCTCTGGGGGTTCTGCAAGTTCTTTCTCATCACGTGTGTCTGCTTCAGCATTGCCTCCCACAAGTAGCATTCCCTAACCACCCCACCAACCCCTCCACTTCTCCATCAACCCATCCCAGGGTATATCACAACATGCTTATTTATAGATTTATTTTAAAACCACCAGTTTTATTAAAGCTTTGTGATGTTTACAAGGTATGTATTTGTTCTAATATCAGCCTCCCTAGATATTCACTGTTTGGTTCCTCCACACTACTCGCACTCCCTGGAAGTATTTTGGCTGTTTTGTAAACATATTTGCTTTTTGTCTGTCTTTCCTTCCAACACCTAAGTTTCAAGATGTCAGGAACCCTATTTTGTAGACGGAAAAGTTCTCAATACATGTTTCAGGGATACACACTCGCTCCGACGGTGCGCCCTGCTCCTCCATCCTCGCTGCTACAGTGGAAGGAGGGGACCCAGGGCCAGGGGCCTGGGAGATGTGGAGAACTGGAGAGTGGATGCTCCGGAGACAATCCAGCACGCAGGTCTCTCTTCGAAGCCACGTTCCTTCGGCCCTGTCTCCGTGAGGGGGCTTGTCCCTTGAAGGGCAGCGCGGTCACCCGCCTGGGTTAAGTTGTAGCCGCAGCCTCGCTCTGGGGCTGGAGCCTGCACCCTCGCTCCCCGCGACCCCCCACCCCTAATCCCTGCGCCACGTCTCTCCGCCCGCCGAGCCGCAGCCCGACCGGCAGCGAGCGGACTTGAGAGGCCGTGATTTGGCTGGGCGGCTGGTGCGCGCGGTGGCCCTGCGGAAAGACGGTCCCGGCCGGGCGTCCGCGCCCTGCGGGTACTGGTGGACCGCGTACTGGCTGACTTTGAGGGCGGTTTCTTCAGGCAGTTCCGCGCTCGCTTCCCCGACCAGCCCTTCATCGCGCTGAAGGACCGGCGCGACTTCTGGGTGTCGGAGCAGTACGGCCACCTGCAGCCCGGGCTGAGCGTGAGCATCCCCCGAGCCCCCGCGGTTCCGCCTGGGCCCCGAGCCCTCGTGGGTAGGGAGACCCAGGCAGCCTTCGCAGCCCCGGCGGGGCAGCCTGCTTGACCTTGCGCGGGTCACCGCCCGGAGCCTCGGGGTGAATCGGAGTCCTGGGAGGGAGCCGGGCGCAGCGATGGGGCAGCCCTGTGCTCAGTAACTGTTGGCTGTCATCGAGGACCTTCCCAAAATTCAGAGGACTCTGAAGCATAATATACCTACCTCTGTATCATCAGCCGACTTTAAAATTTGTGGCATATTTACCTTCACGTCTTTTATTTTGTAATGAAGTAACATTACAAAAGTCCTCTTTGACCCCTGACATAGGCACATTTCCATTTCTTCATTCTCATGGATTTGTGTTTTTACCATTCCTTTTCCCCTTTCCATAAAAGCATAGCTCCCTGTGGAATTTGAAGCCCAGGGGTGGGTTGAGAGACTTTGTGGGCCTCACACAGTGAGTTCATGGTCAAGTTTGAGTGGGATCGGCACCTCGGCTTATCCCGGTGCGGCGCTCGCCCGGCCCAATCACCGGCTCCCCGACCCCCGACTCCCAGGGTGCTCTGTTCTCCAGCAGGAGGAGATGTCCTGGCAATTGTGCAGATACCTCGGTTTGTAAATTTAAGGTGTTTCGGGAAAGGAACAGGGTTTTTTTTTTGCCACGCACAAACTTCAAGAGTCGGGGTGTTTTCTGGCTTCCCTTGAGGCACAACTTAAGGTGACTGTCAGCGGATTTGATGATGATGATGACATTAGAACCTATCTGGTACCACCTGTTGCTTGCATTGCCTCTTTTCTGTGAGGTAGACATTATTATTCCCAGTGTGCAGGTGAGCAGCTCAGACAGGATTCAAACCCAGGTCCATCTATCTGCCTCCCCAGCAGCCTTCTGACTTATAAAAGTCACCTTGACAATAATTTTGGTTTGTTGAGGGGGCAGGTGTTAAAAAGAAAATGAAGTGCTGTTTCCGGTGGTTAACACCAGTTAGTTGGATGGGTGACTTTCCCAGAGCCCAGAGCTGACTTCTCACAGTCCTGCTACTTGATTAAAAACTTTAAACAGAAATACCCTGTAATTTTTGCAGCCTTAGTAGCATGCTTCCCTGATCTTTGTGTTCATTTATAGACAATGCTCAGCACTGGCAATCTGGGCACCTTATTTACTCCCAGGAGTATGAGGGGGGACCCCTCAGAAAAACCAGAATTCTCTTCAGGAAGGTGGGCCCCTTATAGCACAGGCTCCCCCCGCTGGGTGAGTGTTCTCAGAGCCCATCTGCATCAGTGCACTAGTTGGCATTGTTGTGAAAGGCTGCATTTGGCCTCAGTGAATTTTTTTGAAGACTCTTCCAGTGTGTTTGCCCATCTCTTGATGGTGATTGACAGCACACCCACTCACACCCACTAAGTGTTCAGCAGTTTTTCACCAAACACAGCATGAGCCCTGTGCCCTGCCCTCCCTATTCACCTGATTGTACCCTGAGCAACTTTTTTTCATTTCCCCGGATGAAAAAAGTCCTTAAAGGGAAATATTCTGCCAATGTGAAAGAGGTGAAGCAGAAAATGGCAGAAGCACTAAAAGGCATCAAAATCAATGAGCTCAAAAACTGTTTTGAGCAGTGGAAAAACGTCTTGATAGATGTACTGCATCAAATGAAGAGCACTTTGAAGGTGACCGAAGTTTAAACATGTAAGAATAAATACACAATTTTAATAAATAAACTGGTTTTTTTGTACCGCCCCTCATATATTAGGGTGATGAAACTAAGCCTACCCCCAACTCTGAAAAGGACAGTGGCATTTTTAGTCTTTTGTGCAGAGGTGTGACCTCTAGGTCTAAGGAGATGAATTGCCATTTTCCAAATACAAAGAAAAGAACAGAGCTACTAAGGTAGGGGTGTTGATTTCTAGTCTGCTGATTTCTTCTGCTTCTGAGAACATTGCAGAAAATGGGATTTTAATAGATGGACACATGCCTTTTATCACCAGCACAGCCCAGCAGGTATCCTTATGTCTCCCCATGGCCCAGCTGGCCCTGCCCCTCTGGTTGCAAACAACCAACCAACCTACCAAACCAGCTTACATTTCTATGTTAGAAAATACCACTCTATGCATATCCCCTTTGATCTTCACGGTACCCTGAGAGGTAAGCATGGCAGAGGTGGAAGGCATAGCTCATCTGAACTCACTTAGAATCTCACACTGTTATGACCATTAAGGAACTGAGCCAAGAGAGAGTAAGTGCCTTGACCAGGGTTCAGAGCAAGTGAGTGAAGAAGGGAGGGAAGAAATGCTGGGACGCTGATCATGACGTGAGGTGGTTAGCCCAGGGCCACACAGCGATAGCCAGGACTTCTGACTGCACTCTGTAGAGCATGTCTTCCCCCGTACTATCTTCCCCCATGCTATACTGCCTCCAGGGGAGTTAGGACCCCCAAGTCCAAGTTCTGATAGTGACACCCATGAGTGTCCTTGAAACAAATCTGTTAGCCTCAGTTTCCTTATTTGTAAGTTGGGGATAGCAATTCTTACCCTTTGTGGGATGTGAGGGTCAAAGGAAAAAACATGTTAGCAATAAGCACGCATTTGCTTAACTCCACATAGTCTCCAGTGTGACCTCAGTGCACTGCACCCACTCACCTCACGCGGTGGTGGTGCCTGTTCTGGGATGTGGAGCTTCTGACCTACCACAGACACTTCCTGAACAGCATGCAGGACTTGGGTTCCTGCTTCTCTGAGGTGGGGGTTTGTCTGTCCTTTCGTCATCCCTTTACCCGTCCCCCCCCCACCCCACCCCACCCCTGGACTGTGTGGCATTCTGCAAACTCGGTTTTGGCTCAGCAGCAGGAAGTTGAAACTCCTAGCCTGGGGTTGAGAGATGGGGTTTCTCCTGCTTGGCCACTGTGTTCCAGTGTGACATTAGGTAAATCACTTCTGCTTCTGAGCCTTGATTTTCTCATGTAAATGAGGGACTGGATTCTTGGCTTTCAAACTTTAAAGGCTGCAGAATTCTTTCTTTTAAACAGTGTTTCTTCGCAGCCCAACCCATAACACAGGTGATAGAGCTGTTCTGATTGAAGAGGGCGAGGAGCCTGGAACTCTGCCCAGTTGACTATCCACTGCCAAAATACCTGCCCACCCCTGCCTCCCCAACCATGGTACAGCAGTGTTCTAAAGGATCTCCCTGAGTTGGTGTGGCTTTTGAATTTAAGGACTCTGGGGTGTTAACCAATGGTCATTGGCATCAATTCAACACCAGCAGGAATCCTCAATTTGGGAAGCAGCAAAGAAGGCAACTTTATTTAATGCAAACGGCTCAACTGTGATAGAGCAGGGCTGAAAAAATAGCTCACTAGACTTATAACTTCATTATGAAGCTGCAGGGCAGTGAAACTGGGGTACCCATCTCCAGCTAGGCAACTCTATTCTGTTTCTGCCTGGTTGCCTCTTCTCTGGTCTGAGGATGTCTTCAACAGCTCACCTCCAGCTGGGGAAGCACAGCCCCCAGTCTTCAGTGAAAAAGGAAATCGACCTCTGAGCCAGAGGTGAGCTGACTGATATAGACCAAAGTCCTTGTCCTGGGTCCCTGGTTGGTCTGTCCTCATGTAAATGAAGACTCCAAATCTTTAGTTTGATTGTTACCAAAAAATCACTGTCATGGTTCATCAGAATGGAGCTGCTCTGATTGGTTGGTGAAAATGCTGATGGGAATATAGGTATGCAGCTCTAATGGATGAGGAAAGCCTTGGTCTATTGGTTGAAATACCAGGAACTCCTTTATAAAGGCTGGCTCAGACGGGAGGAACACAATTCAGATAGGCAGCTTAGTGGAGGATTCTCCCTGAAGTGTGGTTTGAGTGAGAGATCCCTGTGTAGATAGGACTGCTAGATTGTTTCCTAAAGTTTGAGTCCAGTTAAGCTAGTGAGAGCCCTTCTTAGTAGGTGTCTTCTTTCTCAGGGTCCACAAGTGTCATGGCAAGACCCAGTCCATCCTCAGAGCTTCCAGCATGCCGCTGGCCATTAGAATCAAGCAAACATGTGGTTCATGATGTTTGGTTCCCTGCAGCTTTATCTGTGCCTCCAGCAGAGCAGGCTTTGGAAGCCACAATTCCTGACACCTTAGCTGGCCTTTGCTGGACCCTTGCAGAAGTCAGGCCCCACTTTGGGAGCACTGGAACTCAGACACACTCCATTGGATTCCCCTTCTGCCTGTAAATATGTCCTTGGGTGTGTGGAAGGGGACAAAGGGAATGTGGAAGGCCCACCCTCTTCTTATTAGCAACTTTTTCAGCTGTGACATCCTCGTTGCCAGGAGGCAAGGTGTGGAGGGCCCTGGACTCACCTGCTTCTCTCTTCAGGAGAAGGCCATCAGCATATGGGAGTCCGAGAATTTCTTTTTTTTAATTATTATTTATTTATTTTTATTAATTATGGCATTACAGTTGTTCTATTCCCCCCCTTCATTCCCCTCCACCCTACCCCCCATCCCCACCATTACCCCCCTTTAGTTTATGACCATGTGTCTCAAGTTCTTTAGATTCTATATTTCCCATACTATTCTTGCCCCCCCCATCTATTTTCTATCTACTGTCTATGCTACTTATTTTCTGTACCTTCTCCCCTCTTCTCCTCCTCCCACTCTCCTGTTGCTAACCCTCCTTGAGATCTTCATTTCTATGTTTCCACTCCTGATCTAGCTGTCCTTTTAGTTTGCTTTTGTTTCAGGTGTGGTTGTTAATAACTGTGAGTTTGCTGTCCTTTCACTGTTCATGTTTTTTTAACTTCTTTTTCTTAGATAAGTCCCTTTAACATTTCATATAATAAGGGCTTGGTGATGATGAACTCCTCGAATTTGATCTTATCTGAGAAGCACTTTATCTGTCCTTCCATTCTAAATGAAAGTTTTGCTGGATAGAGCAATCTTGGATGAAGGTCTTTGGATTTCATGACTTGGAATACTTCTTTCCAGAACCTTCTTGCCTGTAAGGTCTCTTTTGAGAAATCTGCTGACAGTCTGATGGGGACTCCTTTGTAGGTGACTGTCCCCTTAGCTCTTGCTGCTTCTAGAATTCTCTCCTTCATTTTCATCTTGGCTAATGTAATTATGATGTGCCTTGGTGTGTTTCTTCTTGGGTCCGACTTCTTTGGGACTCTCTGAGCTTCCTGGATTTCCTGGAAGTCTATTGCCTTTGCCAGATTGGGGAAGTTCTCCTTTATTATTTGTTCAAATAAGTTTTCCACTGGTGGCTGTGCCTTTCCCCCTTCTGGTACCCCTATAATTCGGATGTTGGAGCGTTTTTAAAGATGTCCTGGAGGTTCCTAAGCCTCTTCTCATTTTTTTGAATTCTTGCTTCTTCACTCTTTTCTGTTTGGCCATTATTTGCTTTCTTCTGGTCCACTCCATTGATTTCAGACCCATTTTCCTTTTCATCGCTATTGGTTTCCTGTGTAATTCCATTCATTTCAATTAGTTTTGCCTTCATATGTATATCTAATTTGTGGCTATAATCAACCAGTTCTGTGAGGATCCTGGTCACCAGTGTTTTAAACTGTGCGTCTGAGAGTTGTGCTATTTCTTCATCACTTAGATTTATAGGCTCTGGGGCTTTGAGATCTTCTTGAGCCATTTTTGTTCTGTTCACGCCCGTTAAGTACGAGGAGGGGAGCCTTGGACTCCCAGGTTGCTGGGTTGTGACGCTGTATGTGGGGGCGTGGTCAGAGTGGGGAAATGGCAGCACCCTCTGCTGTTTCTTGCCACTGGGTGAGGAGCAGGCCAGGGCCACTTAGGTCGCTGGGTTATGATGCTGTATGTGGAGGCGGGGTCAGAGCGGGGAAATGGCAGCGCCCTCTGCTGCCGCTCACCACTGGGGCCTGCTGGGTCCTGTCCAATCGCCCACTCCCTCGCTTGTCTGTCCACACATGAATGCGAGACCACAGTCAACCCACAGCCCTGCTCCCTTGCTGTTTCCCCGCGGTCGCTCGCTGAGTTGCCCACCAGGTTCAACCCTGTGCCTGGATTCCGCACGCCTGAGTCCATCTGACGGAGTTTTCCTGTGCTACCCCGCACTGCCAGCTGCTGGTTTTGCCCCTCTTACCAGTCAGGCTGAAGAATTTGTTGTTATCAGACTTCCAAAAAATTCAATTTTTTGAGTTCTGGCTGTGTTTTCTATTGCTAATATTTAGTTGTCTCTAAACTTGGTTGTGTGAGGAAGCACGATATCTCCACCTATGCCTCTATCTTGGCGGAAGTCCTGGAGAATTTCTTTTTTGACCTTGAGCCTCTGCCAGGGGCTGTGGAAGCTGTGAAGCAGGTGGCCAACTTAGAAAAGTAAGTTTGTCTCCCCACTCCAGCATCTGCACCTTCCTGCAATCTCTCTTTTTCTTCTGTCCTCTCCCTCTCCTTCTCCCTTCTCTTTCTTCACACCCTGCATAGGGCCAGGCTTTTCCATCATCATTGGACCTGATGCAAAACCTAACTGAATAAAACAGATTCCACTACTAGGATATTAACATACTTTGATTCAGCGACTTGAGAAAATATTGGTCTAATTTGACATGGTTCACTACGTGTTGAAAGCTCATTTACTCAGCAAATATCTGAGAATGACTTAGATACCAATGATACAGAAACGAACAAAACATGGTCCTTGCCCTCAAGAAGTTTACAGTCCAGCCAGAGAGCAGATGTTAAACAAAGAATCATGCAAGTGAAGATAATCACAGATTGTGATAAGTTCTGAAAAGAAAAGAGTACAGTGTATTGAAGAGGTGTAATAGGAGATGTAATGAGAAAGGGTGGTAATGAAGCAGAAGGGGTATTATGTGAGATATCTCTGTTTTGTTCTGGTGCAATGATTGGTTCTCTGGACTGAAGTCCTCACTCCACCCCCATCGCATACCATCCACTGAAGCCCATTAGAGGTTACAGATGATGTGCTTCCCTGAGAACTTGGTTTAAATAGACTTATTGAGTTATAATTCATGGACCATACACCCATTTAGAGTTGCAACTCGATGGTTTTTAGAATATTCACAGGGTTGTACAACTGTCACCATAGTCAATTTTAGAACACCCAAAAGAAACCCTATACCCATTAGCAGTCACTCACCATTCCTGCCCCTCTCTCTGTAGCCCTAGGCAACTACAGTCTACTTTGTGTCTCTGTAGATTTGCCTATTCTGGACATTTCATATACATTTAAGACAATATGTGGTCTTTTGTGACTGGTTTCTTTTTGACTGAGCAGTGTTTCCAGGTTCATCTGTGTTGTAGCACAAATCAGCATTTCATTCTTTCTTTTGTTTTAATGGAATACGTATTTAATGAGGCCATGGCATTTTCAAACAGAATTTTGTCCTCTGCTGAGACACACTTTTCTGATTTGCATACCCTATACCACTTTTTAAAAATTGAGATATAATTGGCATATTATGTTCATTTCAGATGTCTAACATAATAATTGATATTTGTGTATATTGTGGTCATTCCTTTTCATTACTGAATAATATTCCATTGCATACTATGTCACATTTTGTTCATTCATCAGTTGGTGGACATGTGGGCTGTTTCTACTGTTTAGATATTAAGAATAACGCTGTTTTGAACCTTTGTACTTATGTAAATGTTTTTTTGTAGTTGCTTATTTTCTTTTTTAAACTGTTTTTAAAATATTTTATTTATTTTTGAGAGAGAGGAGAAGAGAGGGAAAGAAACATCAATATGCAAGAGAAACATCAATTGGCTGCCTCTCACATGCCCCCAACTGGGGCCCTGGCCCACAACCCAGGCATGTGCCCTGACTGGGAATCAAATCAGTGACATTTGCGTTCACATGCCTGTGCTCAGCCCACTGAGTCACACCAGCCAGGGCTGCAGTTGTATATTTTCATTTCTTTTAGGTATATAACCAGTAGTGGAATTACTGGGTCACATGGAAAATCCATGTTTAGCATTCTAAGAACTGTAAAACTTTTCCAAAGGGACTACACCATCTTACTCTATCACCAGCAGTATATGGGGGTTCCAATTTTGCCACATCCTCATACACACATGTCATTGTCTTTTATATTTTAGCCATCCTAGTGGGTGTGAAGAGGTAGCTCATTATGGTTTTGATTTGCATTTCTCTGATGGCTAAAGATGTTGAACATTTTTTGTGTGCTTATTAGCCATTTGTATATATTTTCTGGAGAAATGTTTATTCAAATCCTTTGCTTAATTTTTCAACTGGTTTGTCCTTTTTTATTTTTGACTTATAAGAATTCCACATATATTCTAAATAATAACTCCCTTATCAGATATATGATTTGTGAATGTATTCTCTCATTCTGTGGATTGTTGTTTTCTTTTCTTTTCTTTTTTAATTTATTGATTTCATAAAGTGGAAAGAAGGAAGAAAGAGAACATCCATTTGTTGTTCCCCTTATTTATGCATTCATTGGTTGATTCTTGTATGTGCCCTGACCTGGGATTGAACTCACAACACAGCCTTGGAGTACCAGGACAATGCTCTAACCAACTGAGCTACCTGGCCAGGGCATTGTTTTATTTTCTTGATGGTGTCCTTTAAAGCACATGAATTTTAATTTTGATTTAGTTTCATTTATTTTTTTTTCTTTTGTCACTTGTGTGTCTCATCTAAGGATCCTTGGCCTAATTCAAGGTCACCAAGATTTGCTCCTATGTTTTCTCTTAAGAGTTTTATAGTGTTAACTTTTATATTAAGGTCTTTGATCCATTTTGACTTAATTAGTGCATGTGTTGGAAGAAAGAGATTCAACTTCATTCTTTTTGCATGCTGAAATTCAGCTGGCCCAGAACCCTTTGTTGGAAAGACTTTTTTTCCCCCTATTGAACTGTCTTGGCATTATTGTCAAAAATCAGTTGACAATAAATGTTAGGACTTATTTCTAGACTTGTAGAACTTTTACTGATCACAAATTTGCTTGAATTTAGCAACCTGAATGACAAATCAAACATAAGGTGTGACTTGGCCTTCATTGTACCATACAAATATCTCCCCAAATTGTCAGCTTTTAAAGTTCTGACATGATAAATAGGCATCAGAGAAACATAAAATGCTTAGAGTTTGAGCTGACTGTGAATTTGTTTGATCAGTAATTACTGGCACCTCTAGCCTAGGTCCTTCAGAGTCATATATTTTATGCTGGTTTATCATTTGCACTTGATTTATAGTGATATTGTATAAGTTCTGTCTGTCACAAGAGCTTGGAAAGACAAAGAATATGTGTGTTTGCACTAAGGCTTTTCAAAACTCCTTGTCTGGACCCATGTTTCCTGGATCATATTCACCTGACTGGGTTCTGAGGCACTAGGTAGAGGAGTGATTAAGGTTCAATCCTAACTAGAGTTAGACTGCCCAGGCTCAGACCTGGGCTTGTCTGGAATCTGTCAGACATTGAGCAAGCTATTAAACTTTCTGGGTCTCAGTTTCTTCAACTGTAAAATGAGAATGAGAAAGTCCTTGGTATAGTGCCTGGTACATAGTAGATGCTCAGTAAATGCTCTTGTTATTATTCTGCAAGACTTAATGAGTATACATCTTGGGTGGTGTGGCTCAGTGCATTGAGTGCCAGCCTGGGAACCTAAGTGTCGCCAGTTCAATTTCCAGTCAGGGCACATGCCTGGGTTGCAGGCCAGCCTCCAGTGTGGGGCATGTGAGAGGTAACCACACACTGAGTTTCTTTCCTTCTCTTTCTCCCCTCCCCTGATGTGGATCCAGGCTCACAGGGTCTGCCACATTGTGGATGAGGTATGAGAAATTCACACAGGCTACCAAGTCCTGTGGAGGAAAAGGGATGGCATGGCTTCTCTCTCAAGAGGAGAAAAAGCCTTGGCCCTTGCCTTAACAAGCCTTTATTGCTCTTCTCTGGGCACACTACATGATGGTCCTCATTTACTATGCACAGGTTCACTTTAGGTGGTTACCTTTTACAGAAAACAAAGGAGATGATGACACTAATCACATCACAGAAGAAGGATATTTGCAAATGCAAAGGGAAAAATGGTTGAACTGGTTATACTCATCCTTGGAAGGTTTAGCATGGATTTTAGGAAGTTACAGCAAACACTTGTTGCCTAAATTCAGGGTGAGGGAGTTTTAGTAAAAGCAAGTCTCAAAGCAGCCTAGGTACAATGCAGGCCTGATTTCCCACGGGAGAACCTGTCTGTGGGTATGGGTCCTGTCTGGGCCCACACCACGCAGAACAGTCTCCTGTGTTCCTCTCTCTAAAAAATTAAATACATAGAATCTTTTTAAAATTTTTTTAAAGATTTAATAGTATGCAAAAGAAGAGAATTCTTTAACTAAAACCATTGGGGAAACACTGAATTAAGGTTTCTTTCTGTAGGACTTTTCAGAGCTTTTCATTTGCTCATGTGCATTGACTCTTCACTGGGGTAGCAGAGGATGCAGCTTTCTTCAGATGTGTTCTGTCCTGGACACTTTCTGTCTGAGCTCTCCTGTTCACACTTCTGCAGAAATTCCAGTCTGGGAAGTGTAAGTTTGGACCCTAATGGTGGTGCTTCACCTGCCTTTTGCCTCTTCACTGGGGAGAAGATTCCTACAGTCATTGTTGCCCAAAGTCTGGACCAAGAGAGGTGTCTAGTCAGTAACTAAGTGGATAGCCATGTGCCTAGTACCATAGCAGACAGAGACCAGGCTTTAAAACATAGCTTAATGAAGATCTGCCAAGCCCCTGCTACGTGGTAGGCCCAGTTCCAGGTGCTGCAGATAGAGACGTAGGTGAGAGAGTTTTTCCCTTCCTGGAGTTCATAAGTATACAAGGGACTAGAATGTGGCTCTAAAAGGGCTGGAATATGTCAGCACATGTGAGTGGAGGGCAGGAGTGCAGACAGGCAGCAGCTCATACTCCCTAGGGCCAGCAGGGATATTGAGCTGTCATTATTATTATTACTTATTCTATTATAGTTGTCCCAATTTTCCCCCATTTGCCCCACTCTGCCCACAAGCTGTCATCTTAAAGAATAAAAAGGAATCTGCTAGGTGGGGAAGGCAAGGGGGGTTTAGGTTGGAGGGGAATAGTGTGAGCAAATACCCTGACTGCCCACCGGAGGGACTGGCTCTTTGCCCTGCTGCGTCCTCACTGAGTGGGAGATTGTGTCCATACACACCACCTCGCACCCTGAAGAGCTTGTTTGGAATATCTTAAGTGGTGACTAATTTTTTTAAAATTCAGTAATTTATGAGTATATTCTGTGAAAACCCCACACAGTGTGGAATCTGTGAATGATGGAGTTGCCTGTCCATCCCTCCACCCCCATCGACCCCACTCTTTCCATCCTGG